CCCCAAAACCCCAAAACCCCAAAACCCCATAAAGATCTTATAATTTTGAATATTTATATTAATAAATGGGGAATCTTATCGATCAGATTAAAACTTTGCCTGACCCCAGGAATACCAATATTCTGGCTAATTGTATGTCAAATATTTAGGATTACCTCGGTTAATAGCCTTGGTAGAAAACTGGGCATAAAATTCACAATATTTTAAAGAGATCTATGTAATAACTATGTATTTTAGTGTCACTCGCAAAAATCCGGGAGCATCATGGAGGTTTTACCAGTGTCTGAGATGCCTTCAGTATAAACTTGACAGAATTCGAACAGATATTTTCATTGACAGAAGCCACGTTTAAAATTTTTGATACTGACCATAATGGATTGATAGATTCACTTGAGTTGTTTTCAGGAATGATCCTTTTTGCTGATGCTAAAGCTGAAGAAAAGATCAGATGTATTTCTCTAAATTTAAATTTTAGTTCTCTTCGATTTGTTCGATTTCAATGATATCCAAAGCTTAGACCTGAAAGATCTTGAATTCATGGTAAAAGTTGGAACTAATTCTTTAGATCATCCAATGCTGTATTACAGCTACAGCAAAGATGTATGGTCTTGATGAGGAGTTTTCCGTACCAGAAATTACCAAATTAGTCGAGGATACTTTTCCGGAAGGACAGAGAATTACCCTACCACAGTTGCTAGTGTAAGTATAGATCTATGACTTCTCAAGATGGGCTTCAAAAACAGAAAGAATCAAGCAATTCTTCAAGGTACTAAAGCTAGAAGGACCTGAATTTATTGCCCAGAAACAGATGGTTGAGCATGAGTTCAATCTTTATGAGAAATATAACCTTGAGCCAAAGTTTAAATTTCCTAAAGGAGGGGCTAAGAAGGTAAGTTTCAAATTTTATGTCTCTAGTCAAAAATATCTCAAGGGAAAAGAGAGAAGAGGAGGAAGAATTTCAGAACTTGGCTTCATTCAGCACTAAATCCTGTTATTGCTTACAGAACTGAAAATTCAACTGTGAGCAATTACCTAAAAGAACCTGACGAGGTCAATGCTTCATTAGAGTGGGCGTACGGGATCAGATGAACTGATGTTAAGAGACCTTGCCAGTACACAGTTGGACAAGTCTATGCTAGATCTATTGGATACCAAGAAGAGTATGGGAGTTATATGATGACCAATAATGAGGAGCTTATATATTTCACTGCTTGTATTGTCGTTCTCTTTAACCCAAAGCTAAACCAACAGAGGTTCTACACTCAGCATGAGCAAGAGGTTATCTCATGTGCTGTTAGCAATCAGAATGGAGACTTCATTGCAACTGGAGAGCTTGGTGATCCAACTCTTGGAGCAAGAGATAATCAGCTCTATAAAATTCATGTATGGAATTCGAAAACTTTAGAGAATTTGGCAATATTGTCAGGTATTCACAGAAGAGGAATTCATTTGCTCTGATTCTCAAAATCTGACAAATATCTCATTACATGTGGATTGAACAAACCCTCAGCTGTTGTGATTTATGATTGGAAGAGAGAAATTGTCTTAGTGAGTACTTCTATTCCTTCTCCTACTCAGGACATTTTCATATTCCCTGATCTGTACATTGACGAGATTATCAAAGAGGAGGAAGAAAAAGAGCCTCAAGAAGAAACTAAATTTATAGCAATCGAAGAAGGAGATGCTGAAGGAGAGAGTGATGAAGAAAACAAACAAGTTGAGATCATGGCTAAGACCAGACCTGTGCATCAACCTGAGAAGATTGTGATTTTATCCAAAAATGATATCACTATTTTCGATCTAACACCCAATTCTTTAAATTCACACACTATAAGTATCAAAGATTCAGATATAAAATCAGAGGTGATCTGTGGTATGGCCATGATCATTGATGAAAAGAATGCTTACTACAAACATGTTGGTAGCAAAGGAGAGAAGAAATACCTCATACTCACAGGTCACAGAGATGGAAGTGTCTGTCTTTGGAAATTCTACCAATTCCAAAGTGTGTTGATCAACTATAAGGATGAAATCACTTGAATGAATTTTTGCAATTTGAACCAAATTGCTTTCTGTACTCTTCGTGGGTACATCTATATATGGGATAACTACCTCTCAACATGTCTGAAGATAATAGAACTGAATTCCCTGAGCTTCAGCTTGCTCTCATACCACATTGTTGGGTTGGACTACAACAAGCAGAAGATCCTCTTAACGACTATAGCTGGAGATGTAGTGGAAATCTCCCTTGAGCAGAAGAAAAGAATTCGGGCCAAGAAATATAACTCGATCACAAAACTTAATGGTGAAATGAAAGGCATGGGAGTCCTCAACCAGATGGAAAGCGTCTTCATGATCGGTGGGGACTCAAGCTGTGTCTATAGCTATGATATCAATAGTAAAGAGCTCATCGATGTCTGGCTTGTCGGACTTAACATCACAGCTATTGATTGAATCTCGTTAGAAGATGGAGGTTTCATAGCAGCAGTTGGCACTGATGAAGGCAAGGTAGCTATTAGACAAGACTGGGAAGAGCTTACAAGGAGAATAGAGTGTGGAAGCGCTCCAATCCTTGATATAAAATTTTCAAAAGTTGGTACAATGATTGCAGTAGCTAGTTTGGATAAAAGTGTATACCTTGTTGAGTTCAAAGACGATGAGTACAAACCCTTACTAGGAATAAAGTAAAATCTTTTGATAATATATAGAATTGAGAACGGGTTCCCAATCAGTTTAAATTTCTCAGAAGATTCTTCCAGGATCTTGATCACTACAAACAAAAGGCAGTTGCTCTTGAGTAATATGAGACGATAACTTATAGTGAACTCTAAAAATTATGAGCTACTGTCTACAATCGAGGATGTATCTCAGTGCTATTGGAATGAATGGAACGGTCGCTTCTGACTCAATACGAAGCTACAAAAGAGTGATTCAATTCCTATCACAGTCGGTATGTCTTCAGGCTATATTTTAGGAAGGAGAAGTAACATCGTAGTCTCAGGAGATGAATTTGGAACAGTACATCTTTGGAGAAATCCTGAAAGTGTAAAGGATAATGTTGGGTGAAGCTTCAATGGACACGGCTCTCAGATCCAGCAAGTTCACAATATTGATAAATTCTCAAATGGTAATTGAACCTATTCATCCAGTGCTCATTTTAATATTCTAGGCTCAAATGATTCGAAAATCTTGAGTATGGGCAATGCAGATAAAACAGTCTTGCAATGGAAGATCAACTTTCTGTATGATGAAAGTTTCAGAGGTTTTGAGAAGATGACAGAAAAGGGAGCCAAGTAAGCAAAATTCTATTCTTTGGATTTTTAACAGACATATAGACAAAGAAAACAAGTATATATTGATGATGTTCGTATCAAAGATGATTCATTAATCAATGAACTAAATTATGCACATGCTTCAAAGCCTGTTAAAGAGAAATTCAGTGATTCTGCTGTTCTCATCAGAGCTAGTGCTTCGAAAATTATTAACAGAATATTAGCTAAATAATCAATTTGATCTAAGAGACACAATTTGGAAGAGGCCTCCACCTGCTTCCTTAATCCTTGAACATGTTTATGGAATGCAAACTTCAGATAGAAGACATTCAATATTCTATCTTCATCTAACCGACGAGGGAGAATCAACCACAGATGAGAAGCGTAGCCTCACTAACGATATTCTTGGCTTGAGTGAAAAATTGGGGACTCAGGCCAGCAAACTAGAGCTTCTTCTTCCAAAACTCCTAGGCCCAAACTACAGATATATGATAGAGAAAGGAGTTAGGTCATTCGAACCAATTAAATACGAAAAGAGGCACATGAATTGCTTCAAAAATTTTATCTATTATACAAGTCGATTAGGAATAGTGTTTAACCCGATCAAGAACAAACAGGAGTTTTATGAAGGCCATAAATTGAAGATCTCTGCTATGGCTCTACATCCAAAGAAGTCTATAATAGCTACGGGGGAAGTGAATGTGAATCCTGATATTCATATCTGGAATCCTCAAACTCTAGAAACATTAGCAATTCTCAACACAACACATAGAGGAGGGATCTTGCATCTGACATTTTCTGGAGACGGATCCAAAGTGATTAGCTGTGGAATAGACGATGCCAATAGTATCCAAGTGTTCCATTGGGAGCAACAAAGATGCATTGCATTTAAGAATACAGGGAAACTGCCTATATTCTCTCTTAAGGCAGACCCTTATGACTTGAATAAATTTATGACCTGAGGATACCAGCATATCGCTCAATGGACTCTGACTGGTAACCATCTGACATGTAGCAATTTCATCCATATTGAAAATGAGTATGCTGAAGAGGAGCAGAAGGAAGAGAGAAAAATAGCTGATCCAGATGAGAAAGAAAAGATAGTCTTCATGTGCATGGATTTTATTTGCCATAGGGTAAGCAACCTTTAACAATTATAGATGGGCTACGGTATTGAGAGCGATGTCTACATAGGCTCTAGTAAAGGAACGATTAGTTGCTACACTTCTGAGAAGCATATCTTTTTGAATAAGAAAGCCCATGATGGCATAATCAATTGCATCAGAGTCACTGATATGGCAAGTATTAACAAATCTGCCACTAATGTGATAACTTGAGGGGAAGATGGATTCATTAAAATCTGGGATCCCAGCATCACTCTGATTCAGGAAGTTGATGTTAAAGTTGTAAATCCTTTACCAGATCTAAGCAATAAAGTAATGCCTTTAGTATAATGTTATAGAAAGCTTATGGAATCCAAAGCATAGACTGATACCTCTGAGATAAAAAGAAGAAGCAGTTGCTTCTTATTGGAGTTAGATCTGGAGAAATCATTGAAGCTGAACTTGAGCAGTTCGTTAGCCATCCTGAATTTCAAAATCAATATGATGAAGGAGTTCAGCTAGAGTACAAATTCACATTCAGGTCTTACCTTAGTGCTCATAGCTCTCTCAATGTAAGCAGGAATTTGAAGAAGGTCCATATTGCAGTTAATACAAAATATCCAATCTTTGTGTCAGTTGGAGATGATGAAACCATCAGAATTTGGGACATCAGAAAGAGAACCCTACTTCTGACCAAAAATCTTGGTGCTCGTAATCAATTATTCTAATCAATATAGAGGCTACATCGGTAGCGTTCCATCCAGATGGGGATTTTCTCGCTGTTGGTTTGTATAATGGAATCTTTCTCTTACTAGATTCTAAGATGAAGAAGTTGAATTATGGTACTTACCAAGAAGAATTTGATCTTCCATCACTGGATATCATAATGAACCCCAGGGAATCTAAAGGAGCTGTTCTGTGTATCAGATTCTCAATTAGAGGAGACTACCTAGCTGTAAGTTATGACAATGAGAAGTCAAGTAGCAAGAAAGGAGAATTAAGGGCTTCAAAATTTGATGCAAGTTTTGTTCAGCTTTATGTAAATCGTCACTCTGCAAAGTCTCTAAATAATCCATCAAACTCAAGATCCTTATATATCAAGAAGATGAAAATTGTCTTACCTGTTGCTGATTTTCATTCCTCAGTAGAGATGAGGAATACTACAGCTGTATCTCAAATGGACTTCTCTGATGATGACCTCTTCCTCCAAATGTGCAGCATGAAGATTGATGAAGAAAATGTAAGAAACTTCGAAGGCGGGGAAGACATCTTTGCAGTATGGGATATCGAGAATAACGAATTAGTCAATGACTACAACCAACTTAAGAAATCAGACTGGATCTCATGGACCATATCTAATGCCATTTATGCCAGATTTTTGGGAGATCATTTGAAACCGAAGAATCCTGAAGAAGAAACTGCCCTGAAAGTCTCTGAAAATTGCATAATGAGTGCATGACAGAAATTCCCAACAATAATGAATGGAGTGTGTGGAAACACTCTTGGAGATGTGTTCTTGTTTAGGTTCTCAGCACTGTTCATCGACAAAGGAAAGCAGCAAGAATTCTCTATCGATTCATTAGAGAAAACAGATATGTCTTTGACGAGATCTTTCTCTGCTCATTCTAGTATGGTCACTTACACTGAATTGTTTGGAGAACACTATGTTCTCACAGTAGGCCTTGAAGATCAATGAGTCATGCAATGGAAGTAAGAACTCTATAACCCCTTTAGAATTGAATATGAAGACAAAGACTGGGAGCTTGATTTTAATAAGTTCATTGAAGATAGAGAGGATCCTTTCAGAGAGGTGCCTATTCAAGAAAGGTTCTCCACCTTGTTACATGAAATTTGGGCTCAAAGACTTGATGTTTCCAGAATAAACCAAGATGTCAATCTAGACCTGCTTGATGATCCTCCAGTGCGACTAGAAATAGAAAGCGTCATTGGAAGAAGAGCCTTTGATAGAAGAAATAATGTCATGCTTGATTCCCAAGAGAGAATTGTCTCTTGAGCTGCATCATTAATGATTTTTATGGAGGACAATGAAAATTATGATCCTGATGATGAAGAGTCCTCCATTATTAAGCAGACTTTCTTAAGTCCAGATGATCAGAAGTTTACATCTATCTCGCCTGAAATTTCTTGCTTTACATTCAATGAAGATAGAAGAATCTTAGTTATTGGAACTGCAGAAGTTGAATCTAATATTATCGTATGGGAAATCGGGACAAATCTTGTTCTAAGTAAATTGGTCCTCCCTTGGATCTCAGTAGTTCAGTATATCAAAGTTGCACATGATGATAGACATTTGATATTTGGTATGTAAATTTGTGAATTGTCCTTTAAGCAACAGTTTTAACTGATATAGTTGGACTCACAGAGCACTTCATCCAAGCCATTGTGCTGGTAGATTTCATTGACAGAAAAATTATCACAATGAGACAACTGGTCCATTCCTTGCCTTACAAAATAAAGTAAGCTTGACACTTAATCTTTCAGGGATATTCAGTTCTACCCAAATTCTATCAGGAAGTTTGTAACATGTGGAGTCCAGCACTTGAATTTCTGGAGGCTCAATGGTAGAAATCTTGAGTATCAGATTGGAGAACTCTCAATTCCCAAAGCTTTTAGTAATCTTGGAGGAGGAGTGTACTCCCACACCAACAAGCAGACAGGAAAGTTCGGACTTGGCTTAGTCTGTGATGACATCGAACCCACTGATGAAGAACTTAAGGCAATGAAGCATGAAGATCTCGAAACAATTTATGTTTCCTTCCTGTGCTGATGCTTCTTGAAAGATACTTTGATCACATGTGGAGATGATGGATTTGTAAGCAACTCTTTTCATAATTTAGATATACCTCTGGGAAAGCGAAAGGATCGTCAGAAGAGTATTCGCACATGAAGGAGCAATACTTTGAATGGACTCCAGCGACAAATTTGGACTTCTTGTTTCTGGAGGAACTGATGGAACAGTGATACTCTGGAGACTTAGAGTAGAAGCTCGATCTCATGTAAAAAGTCTTGATAAGTTGATCTATTATTCCATTGCTAAGTATGTTGATCCAGTGAAAGCCCTTGAAATGGCTAAATATAATATCCAAAGTGTCTGAATTGGTAAAAATAGGATTCTTATTGGAACTCGTAGTGGAAACATCTTCGAAATCGAAATAAGTGAGGATGATAAGCTCATTAAGCCAAAGCAAGGTCAGGAAATAAAGCTCAAGAAATGGATTGAAACTATTGACCATGAAATTCCAAAGAACATCTCTATTGATAAAACATCTGTGAGAATTTTCATGGTCACTGAAATGGGAATGTTCTCAATCTGGGACTTGAGAACGTTTGAGTTAATCTATACCAGAGAATTCCATAAAAGAGCAAAGATGATCTACTCTTTCAAGCTTAGTAATAAAGTAATGCTTGTCTTTGAAAATGAAATTATTGTGCTTGATTCAGATCCAGAAGAAAATAAATTTGAAGAGATGAAAAAGTACAATCTGAAGCTCAATACAATTTCTGACTGTAAAGTGAATCATAGTGAAAGGATTCTTGGTGTTGCCACAATCTCTGCAGCTGCTCCTGAAGTCTCTCTTTATGACACAGAGGATGGGTTCACACTGTTAAAAACATTGTTTGGGTTCAAAGCATCCATTAAGTATATCGATTTCTCATCAGATAATTACTACCTCCAATGTGAAGATAACTTGGGGGAAACAATGCTGTTCGAAATTGAGACAAGAAGAGTTGTACACACTGATGCCATTGATTTCGAACTTGAGTGGTTAGGAGAAGGCCTTAAAGGATCTTCTACTCTTGATGGAGTAAACTTCTTCTACGACAACAACAATAAAATCACCAAAATAGCTAAAGTTATTGGACTTCCTGTTGTAGCTATCAGTGATGATCTCGGAACCATTAGATTGTTCAACTACCCGAACAAGGACGGAGAGCCATACTACCAGTGTTACGCCGACCACCTCTTCTCAGTATCAAACTGCTTATTCTCACCCAACAGAAAGCTGTTACTGAGCACATCAGAGTACGATAGATGTATCTTTAAGTGGAAGGTGATCTACAGAAAGGATATATTTGAGAAATATGAGCAAAATGATGAGATTCTCTAAAATCTCTCAAATTCAACTAGATATACCTCTTCGGGGTTTTGGGGTTTTGGGGTTTTGGGGTTTTGGGG